TTGCTCGTCTATATTTAACCAAGCTTGCTAGCAAAACATCACCAAGAAAAATTATAATATTTAATGAAATCTTATTTCGAGTGTATTAGAGTAATTTGAAGTAGAAATTAGAATGAATTATATAAAAAAACATTTCCTTAATTATTAATCAATTTAAAATGTATTTATTAACTATAAAATATCATTTTTAGAGTTTATAGCATTTTATTTAAGTATGTTAAAACAAATGTCTATTTGTGTTTTAATAGACTATATACCCAACTCCCTGATAATGAGTTTCATTAAATGAGTAAACATAAGTGCACTTTCTGATTTCGGCAAAGTTGATTACATTGAACATTTTTAGGTACTTGATCCGCTTATAATGACTCGTATCGTAAGTGAACGGCAACTTGGAGCGAATGATTTCAAGTCATATTATCAACATCTTTGTCTGTTAAACAGCCTTGTGCCGTTGCAAATTATCGAAAGGTTTCTGGATATAGACTTTCTTAATATAGATGGAGATTACGTAAAGTAATTTATATTTACATATATAGGAAACTTAGGTCAGTTGAGTGGGGTCCTATCCTTGATTCGATAAAAATAAACAAATCTCTAAAGTGCATTAGAATTACCTCAGTTGCAACGGTTACAAAAAGTGAGTGTCAATTAACCTTTCAAAAGCACCACATAAAGAAATCGGAAGGAATTTTTTATTTCCGCTTTCGCTAAATAGGGAAATTTGCAAAGCCATTTGCTTAGCAATTACTCAATGTCTTTGCATAACGAAGAGCCTTGTTTTTCTTGAAATACAGAATTTAGCTATTTCAACTAAACTCATTTCTATATTATCCAAGGTAAGGGCTTAATTTTTGAGCTAGGTTCTTTCTTTCCGAATTTTGTGATAATTTAATGCACATGTACTACAAGTAGCTTTAATCGTATTTTCAATAAGATTTAAGCCATTTTATATCCTGCTTATTCACTTTTGAATATTCATAAAACGTATCATATTTAGCTCGAATACATTAATATTTAGCTGCCATTTAATCAATCTATTTAGATACTCTATTCCTGTTTAAATTTTACAAAAATCATAATTAGCCAAAAATGAATACTAAATTTTGAAGTTTTCCATAATTTTATTTACTTATTTTATACACGCTGCGTAAAACGTGTTTATTTATATTTTGAAGGGCTTAATTAAAAACAAGACAGTAACTCATCTCTCATTTGATGGTTGTAAAATTGGTAATGAGGGCCTTAAAGGTAATAGTTTTCATAATTCTCTTATTACTAGTATTATGCTCAGCTCTTCGTTGTGCAAGTAATATAACTACACTTAACTTGGCTAAGTGTGACATCAGAGGTGATGGTATTCTGCCTCTTTGTGAACTTGTCAAGGTAATTAACTTTTCTGTTTAAAATCATATATATTTCATGTTAATTACTCTTATTAGCTTATTATGCCTTCTTTTAATGTGTTCATTTTTATACGATTTGAAATTCAAGTTATATCAGGTCATGCTTTTAATAGTTATATACATCTTTGGATTTTAAAATAAAATGTATAAAGTTTCAGGGAATTATTCGACACAATGAAGCTTGGAAGCAATCACTACGTTATTGTCATCCAGAATTGGATCACTTAAGAGGAATTGGAAGAATTTGTCTTATAGATAATCCCGAACTTGGTGATTCAGCCGCTATTCTCTTAGCCGAAATAATGATTGACGATATCTGGGTTAAAGCAATTGATCTGCAGAATTGTGGACTTTCTGACATTTCTGCTAAGGCATGGATTTCCGTATTAATTGGTTTTGATATTAATGATTTGGAGAACTTCGATGCACGATATGAAAATAAAGAAACACTCAAAAAGACTGGTGGAAATAAGACCTTGGTGGTTCTGGATCTCCGTAGAAATTCTAAGATAGGCAAGTTTTATTTTTTTTAATTTTGGGTTTTGCATATATTACTTATATTTCTCTAAATATTTTGTTATCACTTAGCTAAGCTGTTTTTTACAAACTATAAATTTTAAAGTCCCTGGGCGCGTTTAGCCTAGCCTCTCCCTCTTACCCAACAAATTCATGTTGTTTTAGTATAATAGATTAATACATAGATCAATTCATTCCTACATGTCATTTCCTTTGTTTTTTACCACAAAACTATTATCTATTTTATCTTGTTTAGATCGAAAGCTTCTCAGAGATGTTACGGAAAGTGTCCTTCTCAATGGAAAAGGAAGACAGACAGATGTAATACAATTGATAATTTAATAATTAACTTTGGATACTTATTACGTTTCATCAACCAAACCATTATTTATGTCGTATTTACTTTCGAAGTCTCTAGAGTCCATATGCGTCACAAAAGGCGAATCAAATTGTTATTTTGAAATATAAAGTTTCACATTCTGGATGTTTTGTCCTGGAAGCCTTTTGCATGCTCTGACATAGTGCTTTCATATAATAACTGAAAATATAATGTACTCGCCTTTAATTGGCTTGGAATATATGTGTAGGTGCGAAGAATTCGCTATACCCTTATTTTTTTAGTGCGATCTTGGTAAAACAACAGACAGCAGATATATGAAGGCGATGACCAGCATAATCTTTGTCACTGCAAAATTAACTGCCAACTTGGTATGATCTTGTTTTCACACTTCGTCTTAGTATCATAGAGATTTCAAGTAAAGTTGCCCATTCTGCATTCTCTGCCCCTTTCTGAATATTTTTCTCCAGGATTGGACTTTTAACTGGGTACCTTCCAAAATATTTTTCAACGAGAATTAGCAAGTTGTAGCTCGTTGCCTAGGCCGGCGATATTTAATGACGAGCATCTGGAAATCTGAGCATACAACGATCCG